AAAAAAAAAAAAAAAAAAATCTGAATCTAGATGCAAGCCTTATCCTTTTCATAAAGTTAACTTGATTCTAAAGCAAAATGTTGGACTTAAGCTTATAAAACTCTCAGAGGAACACATAAGAATAAATCTTCATCATCTTAGATTACCAATGGCACCAAAAGCAGAAGCAACAGGACAAAATACTGATATAAAGGCCTCCACCGAAGTTAAAAATGTTTGTGTGTCTAAGGACACCACCAAGAAGGTGAAAAGACAACCCACAATATGGGAGAAGATCTTTTCAAATTATATATCTGATAAGGAACTTATATCCAGAATACTCAAAGAATACTTCACAATAAAAAGTCAACCAGAAGGATTTAAATAGACATTTCTCCCCAAAGACAATAATCAAATGGTCAAAAACACATGAAAAGATACTTAATACTCAACACGATTACTGGTATAGGGAAATGCCAATCCAAACCTCAGTGAGATGCCACTTCATACCCACAAGCTAGAATCAAGACAGATATGGACGAGTGCAGGCAAGGATGTGGAGAAGTCAGACCTCATAAAACACTGCACGGGAAGTTAGGTGGAGCCACTGCTTTGAGAAAAGGTTCAGCACTTCAAGGTCATCCACAGAACTGCCACATCCAGGAACCGCACACGGAGGTGTATACCAGCCAAGGCAACAGAAGACAGCTCCACACAGAAACCTATTCATGAATGTACAAAGCAGCATCATTCACCATCGCCAAAAAGTGAAAACAACCATCAACCGGTCAATGGGTAAAAATAAAGGGTGGTATACCCAAACATTGGATGCAGCCACAGAACAGATCGCAGCACGGATTCCCGCTGCAAGACGTATCCTGAAAATACTGGACAGACTGAAAGAAATCAGATGCAGAAGGCCACATGTTGCATGAAATCAGTTATATGAAACACCAGGACAATCCATAGGGGCAGGAGCTAAGTCACTGGTTTGCAGAAGCTTGGGGCATGGGAGAACAGGAACGAGTGCTAATGGACAAGGAGTTTCAGAGGCTACTGAACTGTCCTGGAGTTAAGTACTGGTGATGGTTACAACACTCAGAATACGTTAAAAAGCAGAAAAAAAGTGTATTTATAATGGTGACTTTTATGCTATGTAAATGATATCTCAACAAAATTATATTTTAAAAGAAAGAAACACATCTACTGGAATAAAATTAAAGGGCAAGGCAAGATTACATTAGAATTTCCCAAGTGTTGTTCTCAGAGTAGAGCTTTGCTCGTCGGGATTGCTACGCTGGTATGTGAACTCTGCTTACTTTTAGGCTTTTCTGATCAGGAAGCAAAGAATAATGTTCATGGCCTCTACTGCCCCTCCATCCTGGCACCACTATCCCAGACTCCAGATAGAAGGAAAGCCATGAGGAATCTGCTGGACGGACTCACGCATCTTCATGGTGGTGTTTCTTCCTCGCCGCCCACTCACTAAGACAGCAACTCTGCCCCCACCCAGCCTGAGAGTGCTGATATTCTTGCAGGGTGGTAGGCAGGCTGCTGAGGCTAAAGCTTCAGAGTGACCCGACTCCAGACACCTGCTGGCCCTGGGCTGAGCAGCCCTCTCACCTACTTACCGCCCTGCCTGCTCTGCCCTGACAGCATTAAGACATCTATTGCACCACTAAGCTACGTGTGTATTTTCTGCCTCACTTGGCAATAAATTCTCACCTGCAGACAAAGACAAAATACATCCCCTCTGCTCCACCTTTCTGCCATTTTCTCCCTGGTAAAGAGACTGTAAATAGAATGATCACCTCCAGCAGGAAGGAGAGCTCTCTGCTGAGCTGGGGCACCCGTAGTCAGAGCCCTTTGAGCTGCATCAAGAAAAGCTTTAGGAAAGGGAGAGCGTCCACAGAGCCCTCTGCCAGGAGGGTGCTGGGAGCCCTGTGTACTCCCTGGGCTGTCGGCAGGTGGCAAAGCCCCTGTCCCCACCTTCCCCAGCTACTGCCACAGGCTGGCTCCCGTCTGCACTGCCTGGGCACCAGCAGGCACAGCTCTAAAGGGCAGCAGCACTGTGCGTGGCCACTGACCTGCGCCTTCTTCACGTACAGCCTCCAGCCATGGGCACCCTCCTGGGAACCAAGAACTAATCCCCTAGATCTTCGGTGATAAAGCAGCCAGGACCCAGAGTCGGCAGTCCCTCTCCCTGGATTTCCGAGCAAGCCCTGAAGTCGTCCATGCCTGCTTCTGCAGAACAATGCATGTGGGGACTATCCTCCATTCCCCAACCTGCTCCTGCACCCCCACGACTCACGGAGATGCTGGAGGAGGATGCGGAGTGGAATGAGCCCCTACTCCCGAGTTCAGGCCACACAGCAGCCCTTATGCCCACATGAGACCCTTCAAGGTACTTAAAAACAAAAACAAAAAACCTACTGTTTGGCCAGGTGGGGTGGCACATGCCTATAATCCCAGAGGCTTGGGAGTCTAAGGCAGGAGGAGCATAAGTTCAAAGCCAGACTCAGTAATTTAGTGAGGACCTAAGGAACTAGTGAGATACTGTCTCAAAATAAAAAGTAAAAAGGACTGGGGATGTGGTCAAGCACCCCGAGTTCAATTCCTGGTACAAAAAACTAAAAAGGAAAACCAAAAAGAACCCTGCTGTCTATCCACTGAAGCCCACACAAGGAGAGGCCCCCACTTCTTAACAATGTGCTCCTGGGATGACGCCAATAAATCTTTCACATGAACATGGACACTGCTTCAAATTAGGGACAAAAGACTCAAAGGTTTAAAATAACCTGAGAAAGCCAATCTGATGCAGAAACATGTAAAAGAATATAAAAGGGTCCTGTTAGTAAGTTACTTATAAGACTTCTCCTTGTTCAATACGCACAGGAAGTAAGAACAGGTGAAATCGCTAAAATAACCAGCATATGAGAAAAAACATAGAAAAAAAGAGTAGAGACAACCACTGGAACCACTGTAGTCTCAGTTTACACAAACACACACACAAGTACACACAGTCACATACAGGCTCACACGCACACACACACACACACACACGCCTTATCTTAGAGATAAAAGGAGAAACAATCAAATAAACCCAGGAGAAGGAGAAGGTACTATTTTCTTAGGTTGCTCCTCACGGCCTCTGATATTTTAAGTGAGACTCGAGTGGAAGGAGGAAGCTGGACAGGAGAACACACAGGGACCCCTCGGCCAGCAGAGGGGCAGGCAGGACCTCCTGGAGCAGGGGGAGAGGGCGAGAGGAGAAGAGCCAGGTGGGTTTTGAAGGCAGTTGCAGAAGCGATTGACTTTAGGCAGGTAGAGAGGGGAGGGCATGACGGTGCTCCAGCTCTCGGTCTTGAGCTACTGTGTG